GAATTATAAATTAAAAGAAATTTTGATTATCATTAAAAACTGTTAATTGATTTGATAATTTATTAATAAAAGAGATCATTTGTTATAAAATAAAAAAATTTAAGAAACAAAATGCAATTTTTAAAATTACAAAAAATATTTTATATTTTAAATAAATTTTAAAAGATGCATTTATAATTTTTCTTAAATTTAAATACGAGAGAAGCGGAACCCGCGATAATTTTCCAACACTATACTTGCATTGAAATCGGAAGGAAAGTAAAACTAATGCAAATCTGGTGCACCATAAGTTGAACGGGTTGGGTTAGGTTGGGGGTCCGGTCCATATGTTCAACGCAATTACGCGTGAACCACTCACGCTGCACTTTTTTATTTTTATTTTTATTTTATATTGTTTCATTTGTCAACTCAATATTTTATAGGGTATTCACGGTTTAGTTGTTGTTAGAAAATCTCCAATCTGTCATTCATCTGTTGGATTAGGAGATTGGAAAAAATCATTTTGCATTCATTTGCCAGATTGAAAGATACAGATTGACAGATGGATATGAATCGGTTTGGTGGTTTAAATTTTTACAAATTTTGAATAAAATACAACTTGTCAATTTTTTTTGGGGATAACAATTCAACTTAATATAACCAAAAATTATTAAGTAAATTGTCAAATATCAATAATAAATATATATAAGAAAAACCATCAATTATCAAAATTATTTTATTTTTTTTTTTTTCAAAAACTATTTAATTTGATTTTAAAAAAGAAAAAGAAAAAATTAAGCCTTATATTTTTCACGCAAAAATATCAAATATTAACACTTGCCATTTGATAAAAAGATTTTCAAATCGAAAACATAACAGAATATTTAAATTCTTTTTCAATTGAAAACACAAATAGAATATCTAAACAAATTGAAAATACAAAGTTTTACAAATAATTAGAGGTGCTCACGGTTTGGCAGTTCGGTTGCAATCAAAGGAATCTCAAATCCGCCATCAATTCAAAAGTAGGCAGATTAGAAAAAATAAATCTATAACCGTTCGCTCATCATCACGTATCCATCCAAAATGCGACGGATCGATTCGGGTCGATCAGTTTAGGCACATCGAAATATCCGCTGCTCACCCCTAAATATTTTAGTCTAAAAGTTAAAAAATTACTAAAAAAATTAGAAAGCCAATAACCTATACCAAAAAATTAAAGATTTTCATTTCTCTCTATGTTTTACATATCTATTCGTAAAAAATCAAAAAATCATTCCAAATATATAAATTTTTTTAATCTCATATTTTAGCTAAAAAATTAAAAAAATACTAAAATAACATGTTCACAAACGAGATCGGAGCCCACTAACTTTATGACATTATTATAGTGAATAATTTAATTGCTCCTTTAATATGTGTTGTGAAAGATAACCCTAAGGCAACATAACTAGGAGTTAATTTTTTAATTTTTTTAAAACATATCATCTTTTTATTTGTTATATATGTATATATTTTTTAAAAAAAATTAAAAAAATTAAAAAATTAATTTTTAATCTCTTCCTAAGAGACCGTTTATATTTCGCAACACATATTAAAGAAACAATTAAATTATTCACTGTAATAATTCATAAAGTGAGTGAACTCCTTTAAAAACAAAAGTGAGAGGAGTGCATTTGAAATGAAGGTGACCCCGATGCGACACAAAGAATTAAAAAGAAAAAGTATAATAGTGTTGGAAAAAGTGAGCGGTTAACACGTTATTCCGTTGAACTTATGGACCTGACCCCACCCAATATCATGCGGAAGTTTACGTTAATTAAGAAGGAAAATTCTTTTGGCAGGAGTGTATAACTTTTGTATATAAATTAGGTTTTGCTTTTTCTCTTTAGGCTTGTTTTTGAGAAATTAATTAAAAATTATTATTTTTGGGTTTTTTTAAACTTTTTTTGAAAAAATATATAAAAAAATAAAAAAATAATATTATTCAAAATAAATTAAAAGTCAAAAATTAACTTTTAGCTAAATTTTCAAAATACCATTGAAGATTTATATTATGACTTTTATTGACAAGTGTCTCTAGGACGTAAGTAAAAGATAAAAATTTTAAAGAACACAACAAATTTTTTATTAAATTCAATATATTTTTATTGAAATCAATACAATTTTTAACATTTTTACATATTTTAAAAATACTTTATACACAATTCGTGATATTAAATAATACATAAAAAACACTAGTTAGTATTTATTTTATATTATTGATGATGTAGTTTGGTCGGCAAGAGATAAGCCGAACTAATCCAAGTGATTCACAAGTTGGTTGACCTCCCCCTTCTTAGTCGCACTTGCAATAAGTCCAGTGGAAATGTTCCGAAATAGGGGTGGTTCCTTCCTATAGACTCTTCTGACAATCAAATCAGATGAGGATACAATAAGAATAAGAACTTAGAGAGAAAGTTGAGAGTAAAAGAGCTAGAGGGAGGATGAGTCACTTGTTACCAAATGTTCTTAAGAAGTTTCCTTACATTTCTTACTAATAATTTCTTTGTCCATTTATGCTATCTCATTGGCCAAAAGCCTACAACATATTCAACGTCGGCCATGGTGGTCTCACCACATCCTAGAGTGAAGGGTCTTGTTGCATTTAATGCCTTGACAGTCTCATTTAATGCTTGACACATAGACTCAATAGCGTTACAGGATCTTTATCTGTCACGTGGTCCATTTCCTGATTGACACACGTCCAGCTGGCACCAGGGCTTGGCTACTGTGGGTTCTCTACTGAGCTTGTTGTTGGGCCTCTTCTGTTGAGCTTTATGGTAATAAACAATCAAATAATTGTTCAGACAATCTTGGGGAATCGTGGCTTAGGACTTCTTGTACCATACCCATCAATTATAACTCTTTAGCAATGATGGATATCACATCTACATCTATTGAGTCATAAACCATATGAATTACTTTAGAAGATTTGAATCTTGAGTAATTATATATCATATTATCGCATGCTAATAAAATTAGAGTAATAGAATAAAGTCACCACTAAAGTTTGTTTTCATTGTCTTTTGCTGACTTTTTTGTTTGGGGAAATTACTTTGTAATTTCATAAAGTTATTATAAATTTGTAAAATAAATTTTATAATTTTAATTATTATAAATTAATGATATTTTTCATCAAATGCTATTAAAAAATATTATTAATTGTTAATTTTCAGTGACAATTTGAAAATTTTGTCACAAAAATATTACCAATTATAAATTTTAGCGACATTAACTTTCACTGACAGTTTGAAAAATTCGTCACAAGAAAACGTCACTAATGGTAAGTTTTAGCGACAATTCATAAAATCGTGATAAAAAACAATCACTAATTGTTAATTTTTAGCGACATATACAAATAAATCATAACAAAAAAATATTTTTAACGATAATTTTATTAGGACTTATTTTTAATAAAATTTGATGAAAATTAAATCCAACTATTAAAATTTATTACTAATTTACCTTAAAGTTGAAGGAATAGAATAAAGTCACCACTAAAGTCATAAAGTTGAAGGAATAGAATAAAGTCACCACTAAAGTCAGTCTTTATTGTTTTTGCTGACTTTTTTGTTTGGGGAAATTACTCGGTAATTTCATAAAGTTATTATATTTATAAAATAAATTTTATAATTTTAATTATTAATATTTATAATTTTTTTTA